GTATTGATCCAATTGTTGTACATTTTAAATGACACTTCACCAATACATTTCACAGAACTTCTGACAGTCAACAACCAAAACACTAAAACGCAAATATAATGATAATTCATGGCTAACCTCCCGCAACTGTAGGTTATAGAAATGGATCCAAATAAATTAAAATAATTAATTATATTATAATTTACTTAATATTTACATGCAATTTACAACGAGACCTTTTGTAAATATGGATATTTTGGAGTTCTAGCAATGGCCAGATTCTCCACTCAAGTCATGAGTGTCTGTGGCTGTAGCGCTCTTCCTCATCCTTCGCTGGTTTAAAATACCAGTGAAGTGGCTGAGGGAGAAGCGTAGGGATCTCCTAAGCCTCCCTTTTCCCTCCACATGTGGAGGGGACAGGATTGGTTCGGAGATCACCTGGCAAATTGTAAATAATGTTATAGGTATGTTTTATATAAGGTGTTTGTTTTACTTTTATTTCTATTTTTATTTACTTATGTGTATATATATATATATTTTTTTTCTTTACTCTTTTGTTCTTTTTTCTTATTCTTTTGTTATTACTTTATTTATTTATATTTTTGTATATACGGTATGAATGCAATCTCTGAACTCTATTATAAGTGTCCTTAAACTGTGACAAATTGTAATATTTCTGAATAAAGTGTTTTAAATATAAAAAAAACATTATAGTTATAAGTTACTTTTTGGATGATTGGATGAAAATAATCAATATTTTCTATCATATATTTTTATAGTGTTATTATTTATTTCTCGTAACGTTGAGCCTGTGGGTCATCAGAGGAAGCAGGATATTTTTTATTTGTATATATTCTTTATTTCCTGGCTTAGCCATACTTCAAAGATAAGTAAATTTTTTAACACTTTTGTCAAAGTGGGAGTAGATATATTTTCATACAGAAGAAACCTCTAAAGATACATATTTTTTTATAATTTTGACTAATTTAGCCTTCGTAGAATGAATAAATAAAAATAATAATACAATAAACAAAGCTTTTCAAGGACACTTAATGTGATATACGATGCCTTTAATTTCCCTTATAAATTTACCATTTATTTAAGTTTCGAGCCAATTAGCTCATTTTCAAGCTATCAAAAATCTATGACATTTCCATATTATGTAATTCTATTATTTTTTATCCTTAGTCCAATAATACAAAAACAGCAATGTTCCTCGCATTTAATCAAATGTATGTCAATTAAAAATAAATAACCAAAACCCGGTAAAACCTCCTCATTCTATTATCTAACACCGGTAATTAAACGTCAATAAATTGCGAGAAACATTATTGCTTTTACTAACAGTCTCATTTATATCAAAATAATAATTTTTATAATACAATAAGATAGAAAATTCAGTATTAAAAAATGTTTTTTAAGAGAAAAATGAAAATAGTGCTTAAATAAAGTAATATGCTATATTTCGATTTCAAATATATTATCTAAAAAAATGAAGCTAAGACCACAACCCACTTTTAAACCGATAAGATAGAGCTAGAAAGTTGAGAACCTTATCGTAACTCCGTGTACTTAGGATTAAAGAAAATGAGGACATTTTTTATATTGCCAAAATATTTTTTTATTAAAGAAACTACAGGAGATAAAATTAATTTAAAGAGTTCATAACTGTGGATTGATGGTTGACTTCTCAATTAATTCGAAATGTGTTAACTGTTGCATTGTGGCAATTTGTAATTTATAATAGTGAAAACAATTAAATAGTCAGGATTACATAAATTGATGTATTTCATTGGAAATTTATTAAAAATATATCTCTAAACCAGAAAAAGGAAAGTCATATGAAAATAAAACTATCACAAACTTTAATAATTTATTACAATTTATATATATTCACTATGCATTTATCCGGCTGTGCTCTGCGTTTTTTAAATGCATTAATAACCATCAGCCAAGAAATAGAAAAAAAAACACGCAATCAATATTGGATTTCATTACTTGAATATGAACAAATTTCAAGATTTTTGAGGAAGATTAAAAAAGTGCCACCTCAAGGCATTATATGACCAAGCAAACTGTCCTTAATGAGTCGTTTTACAAACGAGAATTTAAATAAATAGATCCCGAAACGATTAGAAGAAAGGGACTAATCGATTTGAATAACAGGTTACGGCAGGCCTATGAATTATTCACCGCATATAACAGCTGGTAACAGGAAAACAATACCATAAATTTGAATAGTAACTACATGACCTAAAATATGAATTAGTTTAGAAAGCACAGTGGAGAAAGTTACAGGCCTGCAACATCATCCATAGTTGACAAAATGTAATTACCCAGATAAATATCAGTACAAAAACCGTCGTAACTAATAGACGCGAGTTTAAAATATGGCCAGAAGAGACACCATTAAAGGGAGGTAATTTGGAGTGGGCTATTGACGATAGAATTTGTTCCATTGTCCCAAGGAGGCAATCTAGCCGTTCAATAGAGGAATAATGAGGAAAGAGTATTATTGTCTAAGCTGGATAGTGGAGGAGCCGTAGATGCCCCTTGTGGGACACCGTGTGAATCCTCTAGGCACTTTTACAAATCCGGTTCTGGAAGCCTCTCCTAGATGAACTGGTACCTGGAACCACTACATTCTATTATACTTTCTATAGCGAAAATCTCCAGTCCAAGATTCAAGTAATTATTTAAAGTTATAGTTTACGGAAAAGGGAAACTAATTTGCAAGTGGAAAAATGAATGCGTTTTTATACTAATAACGTTCAAAGCCTTAACGGCTCCAAACAGTTCGCACAAGTTAAAAACTGATTAAACTGAACATGTTATTGTTGTAAACACATTAAAAAAAATATTAATGAAACACAAGATCATAATATTAAGTAAATCATTTCTTAAAATTGTATTAAGATGTTAAAAGTCTGCCTGGTGAACAAATATAATGTACCGAGAATGGAACCTGGTTATGATTGATCCAGCAGATTTAGGCAGTCGGAGAGAAAGTAAGACCCCGTTGGACACGCTTCCGAATGTCACCACGAAATTCGTCAACCACTGCAGAATTTCGGAAGAACTTAATTCTGGAGTAGTTTCAAGATGGAGTCAGATATGATAAATTCTTCACAAAAATTATTTATTGAATTCAATAGCTATTAAGTTTTAATATAATATTCATTACGTATATAATAAATTATTATTATATTAATAGAAATTACGAGATATGGATAAATAACAAAACTAATGCTTAATTTGATACATATACACTTATAAATTACATTCAATGTACATAACATCTCTATCTCTACAATGCTTTATTAGCATATTTTCACCAAGACACTGAATGTAGTAATGTTGATTTATAGTGTGACCTTCAGGGACCCAGTTAAGATGCAAAATCCTATGAATCTCGAAAAAAAAAGAATCACTGTTTGAATTGGGCAATTCGAACTTTTTTGGCTTTTGGTAAAGTTCCAGTGCATGGATTGGAGCTACGTTTCAGGATAAGTAAAAAAAACACGATTCGTCAATCTGCATTAAAAAGGACAAGATTTGAGTTCGTTTAAGCTGTAAAAGCGAAAGAGGCAGACATATTGAAGGATCTTACAGAAGAAAACTTCAACCACTATTGCAGACAGTGGAAGATTTGCATGAAGCTATGTAGGGATAAAAGAAGGGTGTATATTGAAGGAAGGTGATCATCAGTAAATATGTACGAAATTAAGATAAAATGTTTTACATTATCAATCTCGTTATTTAACAGCTACGCCACTGATAGGGTGGGGTGGCCGATTGGGCTAACGCGTGTGCTCAGCACCAAAATATTACGACGTATTGTGAAAGAAACGATCCTAAGAGAACTAAAATTAAGAATCTAGGAAAAAGAATGAAGTCATTCAATTAAATTAGAATTCACTATCGTTAATACTATATTCTATTGAATTCTAAGAAAGATACGAAGTAAATAAATTCAATTCTATATTGAGAAATATTACAATCCGTCACATCTAAGGACAATAGTAATAGTGACAGAAAAGTAGCATATCACACTCTATTTACAATAAATAATAGACATAGAAAAAGCTTTTGACACAGTATGGCATAGGGGCATTATCCATAAACTCATTTTATATAAAACCCCACCCTACATAATCCACCGCCTTCACTCATATCTCGACAATAGGCCCTTTATCATTATAATAAAGAATGTCCATTCCTCAATCCATTCCCTATCTGCAGGTCTCCCTCAAGGCTACTGTCTTTCTCCTACACTATTCAGCCTATACATCTCAGACATCCCTTCCATTCCTTCAGCAGAATACTCCCTATATGCAGATGATAAAGCTATATATACCTCTTCTTTCAGAATCGACACTACAACCAACAGATTACAATCCTAACGCATAAAACTCTGTAGATATTTTGAAAAATGGAAAATAAAAATAAATTAAAAAAAAACAAAAACGAAAGCAATTATTTTTACAAAATGCGTGCATGAACCATAATATACAGATAAAAGAAGTAAAGATCCCTTGGTCTAACTTAAATTAAATATTTAGGCCTAGAATTTGATAGGTCCCTAAATTTCACCCAAGATATTAATAACAAGTGCAATAAAGCAAAAAACATGCAGCAACATGTCACCAAATTTCAATAGATATTCACAATTGACTATAAAAAATAAACGGATTTTATATAAAACAGTAATCCGCTCTTTAATCACTTATTCTGCCACAGTATGTTGTTACACATGCGAGACTTAATACAGAAAACTTGTACTGATTAAAAATACATGTATGAGAATCATAAACAATTAACCACGTAATTGTATTCCGTAAATAAAAGCATTCTTATTCTATCCAAGAATAACCCACAGTTTCACTTCTGATTAGAGAATATCATTTGTTCAAGCCACAACAAACGGCAGTGACTCTAATGTTTATCTAAAATATAAACACTGCGAATATGGAAAAGTTGGAAAATATCAACTAGTAAAGAGCAAAGAATGAACTTTGGAATTACAACAAAGAAATTCTAATATTTTTATTGAAGAATGGTTAACTCAGGCAAATTTCACTTGGTGATCAATCTTGCCGAGGTTTGTCGATATTTTCTTGTTTTCAAGAGTTTGCCTGTGCGCCCATTTCGGTCCCGGCGTTACGTACCCACTGAACTTGGAACTCCTCCTTACGTCAACGTTAGGAAGGGAACGAAAGTACTGGTAACCCCACATCTTCAACAACTTTTCCTTCATCGATTCCTTTTGGGCTTCGTACCATTTTTGCATTTCTTTACTCATATTTTTAGCGTCGATGACTTCCTCAACAAGACTCATTTTATTCATCAACCAATGTTCAACTTCGTCTATATTCTTCCTTTCGATGTACTCGGCAAACAAGCTCTTCCTATCTTCTTCCACTTTCAATTGCCTCAAGTGATCCAATGCTTCCTCCTTCCGAGCTTTTATCTTACCCTTCAACCAATTGTCGAAGACCTGCTGGTTAACCAACTGTGATCGTTCCTTTGCTAAATCCCGCCTCTGTCCGCATTGCTTACGGATGCGATCCAACTCCTCCTCTTTGATCGATTTCCTCTTCTTCTGTAATTGCCATGGTGATTTGGTCAATAAGTCTTTCTGCGAGACGATATTAGAATCACGTAATAGAATCAATTGCTCTTTTGTTGGCCATTTACCCCTCATTCCAGGTGCCTGCCTGTGTTGGTCCCATATTGGGCTTTTCGTCGGAGAGGGAAAAGGCCTCATCCCTCTGCATTGCGTGGAGTTGAATACATCACCGTAAGACCTCATCAGGAAAGGATGCACTAAAGGTGAGTTAGAAGGGCAAGCATTCCTTTTCGGAATGTTTATTTCATCGATTCCCATAATTTTCAGATGATGGTGGTAGGGAGTTTTAAGTATAGATCACGGAAAAGGTTGATGAGAACTGAAATCACAAAATCATTAACTGAAAAAATTATTAATGCAACTGGATGCTATGCTATACATACAGTAGTTGTTATGGTGATGCAATCTTTTTTTTTCTTTCCAATATTTTGAAAACCAGGTGATCATATTTAAAATCTTAATATTTCGATACATTAGTGTCTGTATGATAACTTTCGCTTTACATGCATCAATCCTTCTCTCAAACACATATGAAGTATAAACGATAATTAAAAAATATTTTTATTACTATAAAGAATATATTATCATCAAGGAAACTGATAAAACTCCATACTTTATAAATGATCACGATATTTAATTAATAAACAATTAGTTTTTTCTACAGGAAATATTTTTAGTCGTCTCTTGAGGAGCAGGCCAACCACAACAATGTCGTTTATAACTCTGTTTTATCCGTGTAGTTTAACCTTAAATCGGGAGTAAAGACTACGTATAGTTGGTAAGTTGGTTGATAGTTGGTTGTCGTAAGTCTATATGTAAAGTTTTGTTATTTACGTACCAGTGAGCTGCTGTTATTAATCTTAAAATGTTGGACTGAAAATGTTGTTGTTCTTGTAAGCATGTCTTTTTTGCTGAACCCATACGTCCATATAAATTTAGGTAAGTATGTGTATGTATTTAGTTTTTGTCTGATTTTCAATTAGATTTGGGAAAAAGAGAATATCATATTGTCAGTCACTTGTTCGTCTTCCTTTTAATTTTAACGTGTGGAACACAAGTCATCCTTTAGTTAAATATTATTCCAAGATAACCAGCGTGTTCGTCTTTGATTGGTTCTCTCCGATATGCACTGGTATGCACATGTTTCGTTACATGTTATGATTCGTCATGATTTAATCTCATATTTCAAAGTGACTACCAATTTCGTAAATTTCTATAAATAAATCAAATTAGATACACATGTATATTTTTGAAAATTTCATGGAAAAGATAGAAGTACAATATAGGACTCTAGTCCACATTGAGATTGAGAAACCTCTGATAAATCCAAATTTTTAATAAAGGCCGAGTTCCAAAACAAACAGACTTTTTATGGAGGAGGGGGTTAAATCGAGGTGGGGGGGGGAGAGAATAAGGTAAATAGAGAATGGACTCGCCGGCTCCGGGGGCGGTTCGATAGGCCATTATCTGGCGCCTCCGATTTAGCTGGTGACGTCATCGTTAGCATGGGAACTGCACCACGCTACTCCCATTTTTCATTCCCCCGTGACGTCATAAACCCATCAACCCTGTTGGCAACGATCAGCTGATTCATCCGCTCCTATTCCGATGTAATAAAATAGCGTGTTCCAATGCAAGTAATTTTATTCCTATCATAGAATAAGTAGATTAAAATAAATTTCCTAGGGAGTGGGGCGAAAGTGCATACGATTCCCTTAGCTGCAACTTCGATACTAAACACGTCCACAATAAAACAACTATAGTAAAAGAACACTTCATTAATTTTTTTTAATATTAGAAAAAAAATTTTTTATCTCTCCAGGCCAACGAAATAAAAACTGGAATCATTAACTCAAAGATAATATAATATATAATCAATATATTATCCGAATAGCATAAGGATCTCAGGACTATTTTCCTTAGTTTAAATTTTTTAATATGTTTTACTAATTACATATTGTATGTAATAGCTATACTCTTATTTTTTAATGATGTAGAGATGGTTGACCGTGATATAATATGAGGAGTTGGTCGGGGGGGGTGTGGTCAAATAAATACTAAATTTTTAAAAAATAGTATTTTTAATTGTTTCGCCGACGTTTCGACCTTCCTTGCACGTCTACAAATTCATCAGGTTCATCAGGGCTACACAAGATACAAAATATAAAAGATACATGGTAAAAATAAAATAATAACTTATAATTCACTTATTTTATTATCACCATGTACCTTTTATATTTTGTATCTTTTGTAGCCCTGATGAAGACTTGCAAGGAAGGCCAAATCGTCGGGGAAACAATTAAAAAAATTGTATTTATTTTACCGCACTCCCGACCAACTCCTTCTCATTTTATTTTTGAAAAATAAAAAAAAAATTGATAAGTGTCCTATAGCAATCCTGACCTTTAAATGGCTGCCAGCTGAAATTGTTATTTATCTGGAAAAGTGTAAAATGTATTACGCAGGAACAGGTATTGACATCCGCCGGAAAATATTTACAACCCGACGTTTCCTCATTGACCCGCCGTTTATTACCGATATAATTTTAATACTACTTACAATTTTCAATCCATGTTACATATCTCGTAGTAAGAATTTAACTATTAAAATCTGAATTCGTCACTTATTCATTATGTTGATTTTATTTCATTTGACACATCGTTTACCGAACTCCAATGCTTCCAAGAACAGTATAAGGGAAACGTACTACTATTATACTATATTATATACGTTTAAAAAATTAAATTTTATGACTATCATAAGTAAAAAAAAAAATGTTAGATTTAATAAATTTAATGTTGATTTATACAATACAGTCAGGCTATGTATTGAAGTTGTTTTTAACTCAGCGAGCATCTAAATGCCCTCGGTATTAGCATGGCTGCAGTCATCATCCTGTATTGTTTTTTTTTTTTATGTTAACTAAAAATGATGAAAATTCTCAAATTTAATTAAATATTTTAGATACATAGAATAAAATCCTGTTCAATTTGAAATTACAAACGAATCATGTCGTGCTAAGTTTTCAAACACGAACCCATATATATAATGGATTATATGTATATAAAAGGTACAAGAGAAAAAAACATTTTCATTCCATTTCCATAATTCTTCAGGAGAGCGAAATTAATTCTTATGTATAAAAATTATTTTACGGCTAATTTAGACCTCAATGTTAAGAATGAGTTTATTTTGACTGTTGAATATATGAGTAGCCTCATATCAAAAATGGACAACCGCAATTTTTTTAAATTTGAGAATGCCCAGTTTCTGTAACATAGCTTCAATTTAAACCAATTATAATGATTTTTTTTTTCATGATTCCTCTTTCGAATTCTTAAATATCTTCATCAAAATAGTTTGTGTTGGGTCTATAAAAAAAAAAATTACATTTTCTGCACTTTTTAAAAATGATAAATGTCCGTCTTTGACATTAAAACCAGTCATATACACAACAGAATTTAAATTAAAATATTTTTTACAAGTTAAAAATTTTTATATGGCATTCTGTGGGTACAGTTATTTATTATTTTTGTTGTTGTGATCACCTTACCATCAACCTGCTAATAGTTTTTTTTTTTATTCTTTCATGTATTTTTTCTTAAAATATTTAAAAGTGGTGACGCGTACAGATGGCGCACGAACATTCTCTCTTTTTACTTTAGAAGATATGTATGTGTTTTTTTTTTTTAAATTTACTTATCTTTAAGTCATTTTATTTTATTTATTGTATACACTTTTTGATTATTATTTAGTTTTTATTTTGCATCAGTTCATTTAATTTGTTTGTACATATAGTTTGAATGTGATCTCACCCCTCTACAACCATTGTCTAAGTGACGGAATGTTATATTATTCAATAAATAAATTTAAAAAAAAAATGTTTCTTTAGGGATTTAATTTGTTTGAAATTATGAAATTTGACATTTTTTGTTGTTGTTTTTTCATCATCAATTCCAAAGCTTAAAAAACTTTTTACCATTAGAGGCCGCAGTGAGGTTGAGGAAATGCTAAAGGAAACCTCAATAATTTTTCATATTTTACTGTTCTTAAATTTATTTCACTAAATGTACAAATCCATATACATATATTCAACTTAATTTAATACATTTTCAAATTTAGTATCGTAGCATAAACAATTAAATATTAATTAATCCTGGCGTTAGATTAATAAATATCGAACAAAAATTTTTGGAGCCCGCAGTTCTCCATCTGAGATCTATATTAAGCAGATATGGCAAATTATTATTGGACATACCGCTTGTAATAAAGGAATTAAGAAATTCCTTCCAAATCAACAAATGAACATCTTTAGAGTAATCCAATGCGTTATAGAAACGTAGTACTTAAAAACCAACATAATACCTGTTCTGATCATCAGGAATTTTAATTTATGACTTAAAATTGATGTAAAGATAGGACGTTTGTGCAAACAAACCAGAAGAGTTAAAACGCTCTTCTCCAAGCTCCTGGTGATTTTTTTTTTTTTTTTCCTTTAGGCTTAAAAGAAATAGGCGTTTCGACTACTTTTGTTCTTTACAGTATACAGTTTTTTCCGTAGGCTCCGTCATATACTTTCACGGATTGAAAAAAAATAACGAGTAAGCAACACGTAGAAAGGGAATAGAAAGATATAATAAGCAGAAGAGTGGAAGAGGAGTGAGGAAGCATGGCTTCCGGTGAAACTGAAGCGTGTAGCTCGGCCGTGCGTAACAGTCCCCACATCCTTTGGTCAAGCACTCACCGTTCGTTATATCCGAGGGGATATCAGCCATTCACATAATTCATTATTTATATAATATAAAAATTAGTATAATCATACAATTAAATTCCAATAAAATATACTATAGTTACTAGATATATTGTGTGAAATAAAAAAAAAAAAAAAAAAAAAAAACCCAAACCACTAAAACCCATGAAGGGTTCAGTGCTATTTAGGGAAAGCACTGTTTAGGTCAACGGTTGTGATTCAAGGAGGTGATTTGACCGAGATCACGCTCAATCGCCAGGTTTTCCCCCTTAATTAATTATTTGATTAAATGTACCCACTTTAAAGAAGCTGGGTGTGCATCAGGCGGGTTATCCAGAACCAGGGTCGCCCCACGACCAATGAAACATCATTGGAAGACCAGTACCCTACCACTGAGCTACCCCTTTCCCATTAGATATATTTTATAATAGATAAAAATACGTTAAGAGTATTTATTCACTTGTTGTAAACACTTAATGTGCTATCATGCTAAGCAGTCAGCACAAATTTTGAATATATGGTAAATAACTTGTCTTAGCCAATGGCACAGACCCCTTTTATCAAATTATTAACACCCGTCTGGAACTTCGTAAATAAATTCATCAGATCGTAACCTACAAATATTTTATTTACGAAAATTCTCGGAATGGAGGCATTTTCAATCT